AACAATATAGGGTCCTGATGAACAGTTTTCCATTGAATGTCAGTGTCAAAATGAAAAGAATGTCAAAATTGTGACCCAGAGTATGCTGACTATCCTGTCATGACGGCTCCGTTTAGACTTATGTTTACTCAGTCACAATATAAGCAAGGCTTTGTCACTGTGGGTTTCAGGCCATGAGCTGGAGACCTCGGGTACCTGGAGCAGTGGCAGGGGGCCTTGCAGCCTGCTCGGGCCTCTCCGGGGCGTGGCTCTCTTTCTGGAGGCTTTCCCACCTGGGGCAGCCGTCCCTGGGCCCAAGCCCACCTCCCTGAAACCCCAACTTCAGCTGACCTGCTCTGTCCCCCACGCAGTAACACCATGCTGCCGCACAGAATGGCTTTGTCATGTTGTCCTGCCGCGTTCTTGCTCAGAGGCCTGGGTTCCTGCCCAACCTGCCTCTACCTGTCTAGCTTCCACTCACCCTCCATCACTAGCTCATCAGTTAATTCCAGGCGGCTTTCCATGACTGGAGGTGTTTGCTTATTGCTTTGCCTTTTAATTTTCTAATATCCAGTTGGAACTTTGTTGTGTGTGTGTGTGTGGGGGGGCTTATTTGGTGGCTGCCTTCAAGTTCCAGTAGACTGTCATCGCCTTGAGGGCAAAGCAGTTTCTTTTGGTTTGACATCTTTGCATCCTTGGCAGGACCTAGTATATGCTCAACTATCACTGTGGAAAGAAGGGAGGGAGAGAGCAAGGTCTTGCCATGCGATTTATATGGGAAGAAATGTACAAGCAGTAGCTTAAATAAGAATGGGATTTCAAGTCTACCGAATATCTATTCTTCAGTAAGAAAAAAGTTATTTTTCAAAATGATACAAGTTGTATTTTGGAAAAATACAAGTTGGAGATATTTTTTTAATTCTAGTTCAGATTGGAAATTTTGGAAGCCCACTAGTTGTCATGGAGACCACCATGTTAATCAGGTGGTCATCAGGTTAATGAATGAATGAATGGACATTTGCTGCATCTCTGGTGAAAACCAGGCATGAACTGAAATCGAATTCCAAGCATGTATGGTTTTGTCAGGATGAACTCAACTATTATGTACGACTACACTGCTCTAATGTAAAAAAGAAAGAGGGCTGGGGTTGTGGCTCAGCGGTAGAGCTCTCCCCTAGCACATGCAAGGCACTGAGTTTGATCCTCAGCACCACATAAAAATAAATAAATAAAATAAAGGTATAAAGAAAAAATAAAGAAAAGAAAACCAGGCACTGTGTTAAGCACTTTACCAAGGGTTTCAAGCCTCCAAATCAGCCCTGTCACAGAACCGGCCAGTCAGGAGTTGGACCCTTCACTGAGTCAGCTTTCACAGGGACAAACAGCCTCAGGACAGAAGAGCTCAGTCTGGGAACAAAGGACAGAGATGTGTCCTTGAGGGGATAGTCCCTGGAACCAGGAGTTTAAGAATTTTGTTAAAAAAAAAAAGAGACTAAGAGCCAGATGTGGTGGTGTAGGCCTGTAATCCCAGCGACTCTGAAGGCTGAGACAGGAGGATCGTGAGTTCAAAGCCAGCCTCAGCAAAAGCAAGGCGCTAATCAACTCAATGAGACCCTGTCTATAATAACATACAAGTAGGGCTGGGGATGTGGCTCAGAGGTCGAGTGTCCCTGGACTAAATCCCCAGTACCAGAGAGAGAGAGAGAGACACTAAGGGGCTAGGGTTGTGGCTCAGTGGCAGAGCACTTGCCTAGCATGTATGAGGCACTGAGTTCTATCCTCAGCACCACAGAAAGAAAGAGAGAGAGACACTAACTCTGGTTACAGGCATATAGCATTACTACTTATGCATAAAATACCAGATGATCTACTGACAAACTTTCAGAACTCTCGGGAGTGTTCAACAAGGTCCCTCAAAACAAGATCAGTATGCAAAACCCGTCAACCTTCCTTTTATCAGTGATAGTCCATTAGCTCTGAAAATGCCTCAGAAAAAAAAAACTCGTGGCAACAAAAACTATAAGACCCTCAGAAACAAATCCAATAAAAGACACAAAATCTTTACTGAAGGACAAAAAGACCAGAATAGAGAGACAGATTCTATTTATAAATAGGAAGAAGCACTTTCAATCAAGATCCCAGCAGAGTGTTTCTCAGGGTAGGACAAGAATAATAGAGGAAGCTGGGCACGGTGGCGCACGCCTGAGATCCCAGCACTCTGGAGGCTGAGGCGGGAGGATCACAAGTTCAAAGCCAGCCTCGCAACTTAGTGAGACCCTGTCTCAAAATAAAAATAAGACTGGGGATGTGGCTCAGTGGTTAAAGCAACCCTGGGTTCAATCCCTGGTGCCAAAAAGAAAAAAAAAGAATGAAGGCAATATTTGCAAAATAAAGAAGAAGGAATAGGAAGGGCTTGCCATATGAGATGTGTCCTTATTATACAGCTATGATGTTTAACACAGTGTCATTTGGTCCAGAAATTAGGCCACTTAGACAAAGAAACTTTGAGAGACTCCAAGGACAGTCTCATAGGAATGCAGGCACTTGAACACACCTAAGGCAGTGTTCTAAGTGAGCAGCAAAGTAAGGAATTGGGTCTTTCCCTCATCCTACATACAAAATAAACTCCAGATGGATGAACCTAAATAGGAAAGACTTAAAATTTTTGAAAGACAACGTAGAAGCAACCATGTAATGAAGGTTAAAAAATACAAACTGTAAGAGGAAAAGCTGTGTCCATTTGACTTTGTGAAAATTTCCTGAGTGACAAAATATAGCACAAAGAAAATGGCAAGCCTCATAGTAGGGAATCTAGGTGCAAGGCTACAGCTGATAACCAGTGTAAGAATTCATAAGGAACACCTAGAAGGTAAAGAAAAGGGTAACTCAGGAGCAAAACCCAAACAGGGCAAGGTCATGAGCTGGCAAGTCACAGAGGAGGAGGGTCGGTGAACAGGTAGAGGCTTACCCTCACGAGCAATCCGGAAGCCAAATCCCTGAGATCATTCCAGGTGTGTTAGATTGACACAGAACTTTCCAGTCTGACACTACCAAGGAAAAATGACTCTGGGGGCGACAATTAGAGCTCCTACAGGCTTCTTGGGGTTAAATTGGTACAATTATTTTGGAGAGTCATTCAGCTAGATGGAGCTGATCCAGAACCTGCTGTCTACACAGCCAGCATGCCCGCCCTGACATACCAGCATGACTTAAAGGGGAGAGTGTCGACTCTGGCCAGACTGGGTTCAAATTCCAGCTTTTCCAAGTCCTGCTCGTACGACCTCAGGCAAGTGATGTGAGCATTTCGTGATTCAGTTTCCTCCTCTATAAAATGGGATAATAACCGTTTGCACTGCAGAGGTTGTTGTGAGGACTGAATGAGTTAATATGCCAGAGACAGAGGACAGCGCCTGATACAAAGGAAGGGCCAGTTACTAGTAAATTACCCGGCAGTTCAAGTGCCTGAACCAGGCTAGAGGGACGTGGATGAGTCTCACAGGCCCTGAGTGGGGGGAGCGAGGCCCACCGCACCTCACCCATTCCCTGAACTTTGCATCATTAGGAGCAGCGCACATTCTGGACCTTGATCCCACAGAGAGGAGGCCTGTTCCCAGGTTTCAGTGAAAAGGGTCCCTGTGGCCCACTGTTGTCACAGGCTGGTCCATTGGGTGACAGAGGCACGAACTGATTCACAGAGAACTCTGTGCTTAAAAATGATCTGAGGGCTGAGAGACAGCTCAGTTGGTAGTGTGCCTGCCTCGCATGCACAAGGCCCTGGGTTCAACCCTCAGCACCACACACACACACACACACACACACATACACACACACAAAAGATCTGGAACAATCCACGCTGACAGAACAGGCCACAGGAGGGGGAGTGGGATTCGGGGCAGCAGACTGAACAGAGGCTTTCTCTCCATTCTATATACTTTCCTGTTGTTTGACTTTCACTTATTCCTTGTGAAAGGTGAAAAATAAAATATCATCTTGCACACACGAGGTCCCCAGTCAATGGGCATGGCTACTGTTCTAAAAGCAAATACTTCTAGCCAGCAGAGAGTGAGGTCCTAGCAGGGAGGCGCCCTGCTTGCTCTGGGGTAGGGCTGCTACCCCTTCCTCCTCACCCGGTGCAGCTGGGCCTTCAGCAGGTCTCACGGCTGTCCCTTCAAATCCAATCACTCTAGCCGTCCTCCTGGCCAGCCACACTCATCCCTCAACTTAGTTTCTACCTTGCCCAGCTCAGAGAGTGGACAGGTCCCAAGCGCCTGCCCACATACCAGGCGCTTTTATGGGCCGTTCACTCATGTGAGCCCACTGAATCCTTAAGCAGCCCTGGGAAGGAGCCATATTCAGATCTGCCTTCTACAATGAAAACACGGAGGCACGGACAGCTCTAGTACTCTCTTCCAGGTCCCAGGTCCCGGAACAGCAGGGCTGGACCCCATCTGTAGAGCACATGCACATGCTCTCTGCCACCTGCCCACGCTGTCTGCATCCCAGCATGCCAGTGCTCACAGGAGCCAGATAAAGTCAGAGCTGGCTGCAGTGGCCACCTGAGCTGGCCCAGATGCCCCTCAATCCCCCCTCCCACTGTCTTCCTCCATCCCCCAACACTAGCCTCTGGGCTGTTTCTCTCTTTACGGCAGGTCACTGCTTGGATGTCACCTCCCGCTAACCACTTATAGACCCCGGCTAAGTGCAGTGGCAGCCTGTAATCCCAGCCCTTCTGGAGACTGAGGCAGGAGGATCACAAGTTCAAGGCCAGCAATTCATAATTTATCAAAGTAAAAAATAAAAAGGTCTGGGGATGCAGCTCAGTGGTAAGAGACCCTGGGTTCAATTCCCAGCACTACCATTACAACAAATGATAATAATGATGTAAAACGAAATATGGTCCCCACTTCATCCTCTGTCCCTGTCCTGTTGTAATTCATTCTAGATTCTATCACTTCCTGACATTACATTAGAAGCTTTCTTGTTTGAATGCTTATTATATTTCTTTCTTTTTTTTTTCCTAGAATTTCTGCTCCATGAGGACCTGGAAGGTGAGCAAATGTCCCTGCTGCAGCCCAGTGGCCAGGGGGCCCTTGGGAGGCGACTGCTCCAGGCGTGGCTCTGTGGTCCTCCCTCTGGGTTAGCAGGGTGGCCCCTTCCTTCTAAGGACCATGGATCAGCAGGGCAGAGGGTGAAGTGAGAGCTTCCATTTTCTGCCCTGACCCCTGATTTCCAGTCTCTCCCCTCTGGTCCCCTCCTGCCCTGGCCCCCACCCTCAAGTCACATCTTTCCGGCCACCTGGAAAAGGGGAAAGATCCATCCTCACCTGATAGGTCTGACCTGTCACCCCTCCCAAAGGTATTTACATTTGAAAAGAGACCACAAAACCCTACCTGACTGTGTCCTGGCATAACTCCTTGTAACCCCCCCACACTTTTTTCCCTTATGGTGTTGGGGATTGAACCCCAGGCCTTGTGCATGCAAGGCAAGCACTCTACCAACTGAGCTCTATCCCAGCCCTTGGCATGACTTCTGACACAGGATATTTGAGAGCAATTCTGTCTTTCCCTCACCCTGGGCCCTGAGTCACAGGGTAGCTCACAGGTAAGGACATTGAAGGAGAAGGAGAGATGCTGGGTCCACACTCACCCAGCGGGTCAAAGGCTGTGACCCCGCAGACATCAAAACTGCCCACTGTCCCACTGACCCACCTCCTCCTTTCCTGCCTCCCAGGCCTGGCTTTGTCCCCAAAGCATCTCCAAAGCCTCCTCAGGCTCTGCTTGGACACCTCCCTCCAGAACAAAGCCCTTACCCATCTCGATCCCACAGATGACCAGGGCTGCTATCACAGCACCTGCTGACGTCCCTGCGAAGCGATGGGCTGTGTCCAGCATCCGAGGCGCCAGATCCCGAAGGGCATCCACAACCCCAGCCTGGTAGTAGGAGAGGAATCCACTGCCCGAGAAGGAGATGGAATGAGGGGTGTCTGGGTCCCCCTTGAACACCTGCTCTTCCATTGCCTCAGCCTCCGGCCTTCCACAGGAAGGAGGGACCACGGTTCAGAGCCTGCTCGCCTCAGCCTGGCCTGCCAATCCCTGTGGGAACTCGCTGTCAGCTTCCCTGCCAGCCCAGAGCCTGGAATGTGGCCGTCTCTACTGGGTTGGCCCGGGGAACCCACGGGTGGTTCAGACAGCTACCGCCCGGGCCTGTTCAACCCTGCCAGGTGGCAGTCTCAAAGGTTGGAAAGGGGCCTCTAACTCAGGATCAGGTGCAGAAGGTCCTCCAAATCCATGAGCAGGGTCCTGGTCCTGCGACCCTGCGGCTGGCTTCACTGCCTGGCTGGATCCATCTCTGGCACCGGCTCCCCAGCCTTCTGCCTGTCTCTGGAACACCTAGGAGTGTTCACGGCTCCCTGACAGGGCCATGCCCAAACAGGAGGATGCCACTCAACCCTCCACAAGAGGCTTTACACACCCAGTTGCAAAACCTCTGCCAGTGGATCCGCGTGCGCCTCCCTCTTTGATGCGCTGCTGTGGTGTAGGAGTCACAAGCCACCTCCCTCTAGGACAGCATCCCCTCCCCCCAGAGGCGAGGCTGCCCGTGTGGGACACCCACCTCCCACGCTCCTCCCGCCCCTTGCCCCTCCCTGGCTCCTCCAGGCTGTGTGGTTTATGGGATGTGCTTTATAATTATTTTTATTTGTTCTTACATAAGCATCCCTTTATTTATTCACTTGTTTATTCTCATTCTCATGTTAGGATCGCCACAGGCAAAACTGTAAAGGAAGAGAAGTTTGGCTTCAGGGCTGAGACCACCACACATTTCCACCTCTGAAGTCCTAGACCCCTTGGCTCTAGGGCAGTACTCTCTCACTGATCTTTCAGGCTACCTCTAAGTGTGCAGGAAGAAACCAACCTGAAATCCAGATCATTCTGAGTCTTTGGGATGCTCTTCTTCCCGCTTTGAAATGAGAAGCTGGAGATGGCAATAGTTAATCCCCAGGATGAACAGCTTGGAAGGTCCCCTGTGGGTCCCCTGGGTCAGGGCAGAGATGTTTTGGCAAGGGAGATGGTGCGTGGGGACCAGGTTAGCTACAGGGGTGCCCTCCCTCCCTGGAGGATGGGTCTTCTTTAAAGGCCCCCAGATTTCACCACTAAGCACTAATGTGGAAAGACCACATCTCTCCACCTCTCCACTCCCCCAGACCACAGTGGCAGGGGCAGAACTACAGTGGAGACAGCAAGTCCCCACCCACTTCCAATGGAGGCCAGCCTCTGAGGAGGAGGAGAGGTCAATGCCTTCTCTGGTCCTGGGAGCCTCACCAGCTCTGGTGTCCTCCTGGTCTAAACCGGACTTCCACATTGAGGGCAGTGGCTAGGATTCAGTTAGGAGGGCATCTTCTGTCTTGTATTGATACAATTACCTCAGTTTCGGAAGAGAGCTTTTGATGAGACATGTGTGCAACAGAGAAAGTGTGTGTGTGTGTGTGTGTGTGTGCCCGCGTGCCTGCGCGTGCCAGCAGATACAAGGCAAACATCTGGGATGAAGACTGGGAGTGTGACAAGGTGGCCATTGGCTTTCAGAACAGCAGACCCCCCTTCCTGGGAAAGTCAGGTTAGCCGCCCCCCCCCCCCCCCCCCCGCAATCTGTGGGGCAAGGCCTGAGCCCGAGCAGAAGCTCCGCCCCCTAGCTCAGAGACAGGCACACAAAAGTGGAAGAACCAGAGCCCCGTCCAAGGCAATCTGTAATTAAGAACTCAATTGTGCAAGGCTGAGGAGGCTGCCGGCAGTTAAGAGGGGAGGAGAGCAGTGTGGGCTGACCATCATCCAGCAGTGTGAGGAGCTGTGGGCTGGGGGACTTAATGAGGATGGGAGGAGGGACGGGTTGGGATAAGGATCATCATGAGCTCCTTACAGAGGAGGGAAATGTTGAGGGGCGCAGAGTCACAGGGTGAAAGGCTCCGCTCCGCTGTCTCCAGGCAGTGGGATCCCTCTGATTCTCCACGCCTGGTTTTCCTAGTCTGCTAAGGAGACAATAATTCCTGTGCTCCGCGGTAGTAAAGCGGAAAGATAATGGCTGTAAATGCCTGGCAGGTGGTGTGCCTGTCATCAGAGAGTAGTAAAGTCCAAAGCCTCTGGAACCGATGGACCTGGAGATAAGGTGGAATAACAGATTGAAAGAGGAAAGCTGTGTCCAGGAGCCACACGCAGGGGGAGCCTGGAGCCTCCTGGGACAGAGGTGAGAGCAGGGCTGGAGAAGGAAGGAGGGCCGTGGCAGCCAGGCCAGGGTGGCAGCTGAAGGAAGACCAGTTAGTGAAGCCATTGCCACAGAAGACTCCCGGGAGTGGGGAGGCTGGGTGGCTGGGCAGGGTGAGTCACAGTTGATGCTAGGATTTGGGGATTTGGGCCCCAAGGTAGGGAGGGGCAGGCAGCCTTTGTCAGACTTGGAGAAACTGGGGGTGGGGAGCGGGGGATGGGGGTGATTTTACTTATAAGACTGTCCAAAGTTGGCAACCAGACGTGGCAGGGATGGCTCCAGAGTGAGGGACAGGGACACTGCCATTAAGCGGGTGGAGAGGCAGGTGGAGGTGAGCACGAGGTCCCATTGAAGGCAAGATGGCTATGGACAAACATCTCCTTCCAGGTCCTCCTGACAGTCCCAGTGAACCAGAAGCAAGGCCACCTGCTCTACCCGGCTGCGGTGGCCTGTGTTCAACACTGCTGCAGGGAGGCATGGCCTCCGTGCCAGTAAACCAGGAACCCACGACTGTACCCATGAGAAGGCCCCCCGGGCTGTTACCCTGGACCCTCAGGGTGAGACCATGGAGAATGTTCAGCTCACTTCCCCTTGTTCCTGGTGTCACACTCAAGGCCCTCAGAACTTCGAGGGAATGACATCGAGGAAGAATCACTTCCCGACACTTCTGCATTTGATTTGAAGAGTTGTGTTGTGATCTTCTCAGGTGTTTTTTAAAACCAAGTTCTCACTTCTCATATGACCCATCGGTCATATTAAGAAACAAGACTGCTTATTGCATATAATTCCAAGACAACCCAAAATCAATGCACAGAGGCTGCAGCTGCCATAAATATGAGACTTACGCATAAGGTCTTCGAAGACTTGCGGGATTGCTCTTGGGAAGGAGGGTGTGTTTAGGTTGGCTTTTCAAAGATGGTACATCACCTCTGCTCACATCTTGAAAACAGAAATTTAGTGGAGAACCTGGTTGCTACTTGATACAAGAGTGTGAATGTCACAGCATCACCAATCGATATTATTAACAAAAATATTTAACCTGAATCTGAGGCCTAACTTCCTGTTCCCAATATATACCAAATATGAAGGAACAAGTTAAATGCTTCTGGGTTCCAATAATTGGACAAGTTGAGACTGTGGGGAGGACTGGCAGAAACCATGGCTGGCTACACAGCAGCTGCCTCCTGCACACTTGTTCCTTGTCTGAATCTCTGTAGAGCAACTGAGAAGGCTGAGACCCAATTCCCCAGCCTCCTTTGCAGCTAAGGGTGCTGTTTTAGTCAGTTTTTTTCACTGCTGTGACTAAAGGATCTAACCAGAACAAGTGTAGTGGAGGAAAAGTTTATTTGCGGGCTCGCAGTTTTAGAAGTCCATATAAGGCTGGCTCCATTTCTCAAGGCTCTAAATGAAGCTAAACATCATGGCTGGAGAGTGTGGCACAGGGAAGCAGCTCACATCATGGTGATCAAGAAGCAGAGAGTCCAATGTCCTCCGATGATCCCAGCATCGATCAAGAACCATTCAAGAAGAATCAAACTTGCATAGGTGCTTGCTTTCTTGTTCCAACTTTTAGTCCATCCAAGCCATCATCCTATTGGTCAGTGCTGCCCACACTTAGGGAGGGTCTCCCTTTCAATTGGCTATCCCACGTGCCAAACATTCCTAGACACACCCTCATTGACACACCCATAAGCCTCTTAATCCTTGGTATCTCTTAATCCGATCAAGTTGACAATTCAAATTGACCATTACAAGTGCTGAAGAGATCCACTTTTAGGAGAAAACCCTCTCGATGGTGCCTCAGGAAGATTTTCCTTCTTTTCTCTTTCCTCCCCTATCTGAAAAATAAAATACGGTTGTCACAATTAATTGAATGGCCCTCTAAAACTGTAACTTGCCTTTTGAGGTGTGCAAATTAATTTTTGAATACTTGATCAACAAACATACAGGCGGATCCTCTGTGAGGTGCGAGTGTTCAAAACTTTTCTAAAAGTCAGGAATTTTAAAATGTACAACTTAAGGGGCTGGGGCTGCAGTTCAGTGGCAAAGCACCTACCTAGCATGCTGAGGCACTGGGTTCAATCCTCAGTACCATACAAAAATAAACAAATAAAATAAAGGCATTCTGTCCATCTACAACTACAAAAAAAAATTAAAAATATACGACTTAAAGAGAGAGAGGGGGGCAAACTTTGGCCCAGTTGAGATTAGGACAGAGCTTGCTAACTTTCCATCAGGATGTCCTTTTGTATGAACTGAAATCATCCATGCAGCCTAACAGTATCTTCTTCTTCTAGTGAAACAGTTCAGACAGACATTAAAGCTCCCAAAAGAGTACAACTAACATCCACGTAGCCACCAGACAGATTAAACGAATCGTAACATTTTACTACATTTTGACCAAATATTTATTTGGTTTTAAAGAAATGAAACATCACAGATGGAGGCAAAACCTCCTTGGAACTCTTTGCTGATCTCAATCTCACCTCTTCCTCCATGGGAAACCAGGTTCCAGATTAGTGAGTGAATCTTTCTTGTCCATGTTTTCACACTTTTCTTTTTCAAGTACAAGAGATGGAACCCAGTACCCACTGAGTCACATCCTCAGCCCATTTTATTTTTTTATTTTTCAGACAGGGTCTTGCTAATTTGCTTAAGGTCTGGTTAACTTGCTGAGGCTGGCTTTGAATTTGTGATCTTCCTGTCCCAGCCTCCCAAGCTGCTGGGATTATAGGTATGTGCTACATGTTTTCATACTTTTATTACATGAATTTTTTTATAGCCGCTCAGGAGGCTGAGGCAGGAGGATCGAAAGTTTGAGCAACTTAGCAAGGTCCTAAGCAACTTAGCAAGAACCTATCTCAAAAAATAAAATAAAATAAGAAGGGCTGGGGCTGGGGATGTGGCTCAAGTGGTAGCGCGCTTGCCTGGCATGCTTGCGGCCCGGGTTCGATCCTCAGCACCACATACAAACAAAGATGTTGTGTCTGCCGAAAAAACTAAAAAATAAATATTAAAATTAAAAAAAAATTGTCAAAAAAAAAAATAAATAAATAAGAAGGGCTGGGATTGTGCTCAGTGGTTAGGCACCCCTAGGTTCAATCCCCAGTACAAAAAAAAAAAAAAAGCCATAAATATTTTATAAACAACATGTAGTATTGTTTTATAAATATTTTTACATTCACATAAACAGACTACATTGCATTTATTTTGCAACTCTGTTTTCATTTAGCCTTATGATATGTGGTTTGGTCTTTTTTCTGTAGTCCTGCCTTTTGAAACCTTGGGATAATATATTTATCATGATAGATGCTTGGGTTGTCTCCAGTGCTTTGCTACAGCCAACGACACCAGAGAGAACATACTTTGCACTGTATGGGAATTTCTCTGGTCCCAGTGTGGGTGTATCAGTTGTACCCCTGGGGTTTCAACTTACAGAAGTGACTGGGTTACACCACGGAGAGGCTAATGCCATTGATAAAACATCTTGTTGTTTACATTTTCACCAAGTTTGATCAGGAGGCAGAAGGGGTGAGCACAGCCCAGAAGAATCTGTTGAGAAAGGCCTGGAGGGGCAGGGAGCAGTTTAGGATTGGCTAGTGGGAATGACGTGGGCGGGCTTAGGCCACAGGGCTTAGGGCAGAGGGTAGGCGCCCGCCGGAGGAGGTGGCTCAGGGGTGGGCTCTGATTGGTTAGTTTCCCAGAGGAGAACTTTGATTGGTTAGTTCATGGAGGGCTTGTCGTGAGCCCTTTGCCAGCTCCAAGAATTGGCAAGCCTTGGGAGGGGCAGTCTCTTCCCCAGTCGGGGAGGCCACACGTGCCAGAGCATGGAGAACGCACAGAATAAGAAACTCTGGTTCATATCCGGGCCCTTCGGTTTGACGGGGCGTTGCCCTGTGGCTGTCTACACTGGCTGCACCAGTTCCCCCGAGTGTCTAGCTGAGGTTGAATTGCCTCACTGCTCTTGATAATACTCGATGAAAAACAATTTGCGAATCTGAGGGGTGTGAAACACTACCTCCTGGGTGTTTAATGTGTATTTCCCACAAATAACCATATTTGTGAGGCCAGGCATCATTCCACGTGGTCATTCTGTTATTTCACTCTGCCCTTCTTGTCGCTTGCTAACCTCTTCCCATTTGGGTGGGAAGCCAATTGGTCTTTGTTAATAACGTGTAAACTTTGGAACTGATATTGGCTCCATTCAATGCACTGCAAATATCCTCTCCCACTTTGTGGCTTCTCTTTCAACTTTGTGATGTTGTCTTCTGTGGTCCAAAACGTTTTAATTTTCATTTTTGCAATGTTAGGAACTGAAACCAGGGCCTTGCACATGCTAGGCAAGCACTCTACCACGGAGCTGTGGCCCGATCCCTTAAAGGTTTTTTTTTTTTTTTTTTTTTTTTTAATATTTTCTTAGTTGTAGTTGAACACAATATCTTTATTTTATTTATTTATTTTATGTGATGCTGAGGATAGAACCCAGCGCCTTGCACATGCTAGGTGAGTGCTCTACCGCTGAGCCCCAGCCCCAGCCCCCCAGCCCTTAAAGTTTTAAATTTTAATATAATAAAATGTATCAGTCTTTTCTTTCATGGTTTATGGAAGGCATTAAGATGCTCTCCGTATAAAATAAAATCCCAGTTACTTTAAATAATTTAACCATCAAAGTCTAAGCTATTGTTCTGTCTCCATAGGAAAGCAGCAGTTTGGTGGGCAATTTGGCACCGTTTATTTAAAAATCAATACTTGCCGGAATTTATACAGCAGAAACATTCACAGGAGCCCCCCACCCCATCACCAAATGTATGCACAAGATTGTTAAATAACATCATTTGTAACAGCAAAGATCTAGAAGGAATCCGAGTTTCAGTGGAAAGCTGGTTAAATGAATTATGGAATAGCTGCATAATGTAATTCTCTGCCTCTACAAAAAAGAATAAGGCTGATTTGGATGTGCTCATAGGGAAAGTTCTCCAAGATGTATTGGTAAGTAGGGAAGGAAATAAAAGGACCCAAGCAGTAAGTATAATATGCTACCATTTATGTCTAAAAGGGAAACTTTTTTCTTTATGTATATGCATGTAAAATTTCAAAAATAAAACTGCTGAGAGAAGGAGGCTACAAGAGGACAGGGCTTGAGGGTGGAGGGAAACCCATTTGCCACTGCCAAAATCATGGGTGGTTTTCATTGTGGCTTCCATTCTGGCAAACAAAGAAGAACCTCTGGAAGATCACAGTAGCTATTGTTTCTGGCATTTGGAATAGTCGGAGGTGAAGGGGGCCTTTTGTTCCAACAGCTAAGAAGAAATCGAATCATTAGAAACAGGCGGGGGAGTGGGCGTCTCCTAGACAGTGTCATTACAGGTGCATTGTGGGCCAGTCCCAGGGCAGGGCTGGTCGCGACCCTGCTGATGAGGTTTGGGCTTGCTGATGTCTGGGGAGGGCAGGAAGGGTGAACAGCCTCCCTCTGTGGGGGTTGTCTGTGACACAGAGGTGGATGGGATGGAGTGGGGCACAGGGGGTCGTGATTGAAGATCTGAGCTGAGAGCATCCACCTGGGCTCCTGAGGTCCGAGATCCGGGCTGGCTCTAGGATGGGGGTCTCTTCGCAGTGTGTGGCTGTGTGGAGGGAAGAAGCTGGGCACCCCTCTCCCTGTGGAGGAGGAGAGCCCAACCTCGGAGGTTCTGGCAGGCAATTCTGGAGAGGAAGAAAAGTGGTGCTCAACCCGGGAAAGTGCTCATCCAGTGAGTGAGCAGCAAGCCATCTAAGGTCACCCCGCTGACACTAAAGGAGGAAGAGGGACCGGGCGGCCTCATGGAGCAAAAACAAGACATGCAGTTGAGTCCTGCTGGCTTTTCCAGGGCAGCACAGTGTCGCCAGTCTGGGAACTGGGTTGTCTGAGCTCAAGCCATAGCCGTGTGAATGGCACACCTGGCAAGTTATTTAGATGCAAGTTTTTGCTATTAAAAAATGGGAGAATAATAATACCTCTGTAAAAGCACGTACTCATAGGGACTTGTCCTGGTACACATTAATTGTTAACTTGTTTTTACTTATTTATTTGTAAATTCAGCCCAGCTGGGGACTTGGACAGTGGTATGATCAGCACATAGAGACTGAATCTGTGTCTGAGGTGGATGCACGTTAACCAAACCCACAAACCCAATAAATAAGCTGCCCATGAGTGTCACTAAGTCCATTGAGATCCCTGCTCTGCAGAGCACAGACCGTGCTCAGAGGTCCCTTGCAGGACAGGATCACGTCTGCATTCTTGCTTATGTCCAGGGCCATTCCTGCTACTCGCCTCTAAAATGAGTTGGTCCCACAGGATTCCAGTTCATGAATATTTGCCGCATGAGAAAATGGTTACTGTGGTGCTCTCTGCAACAGGCAAGACTGGAAACAATCTAAATGTGGAACAGCAGAGAGCGTGTTATTAGATTGTGGTTCCATCACCTCACAAAACAGAAGAATCATGGCAAAGGACAATTAAAATGGTGATATAGGAAGGTGGAGAAATGCTTGTGATGTAATTTTAGAAAAACAAAAGAAATCAAAATGGTCAGGCCGTGAGATGGATCTCTGTTTATGACATTTTGAGTGATAAAGCAAAGTTCAGAGGAGGGTGTGTGATGTCACCATCTGTGTAAAAGAGAGCAAAGGATTTAAGAATCCACTTGCAGCTATAAGCATACGCCACCTCTGACAGATTCACAAAAGACCAAAAATGTTGGTGTCCTCTAGGCAAGGGGACAGGGTGGTGACAGCAGGGAGACACAATCCTGATAATACTTCTGCCTTCTCAATGTAGAACCAAGCAGATGTGTTTCTGATTTTAAAATTAAATAATTTAAAATGCCTTCTGG